TAGGTTCCTATCTCCTTGACTAACACCTGCTATCCAAGCATTCCTGGCTTCACTTTTTGTTTGCCTGGTAAACTTTGTGTTCTAGGTCCAATCCTAGAGCTGAACAATTTCTCCAATTTACCTCACCCTACTACTGGGGCATCCAGGGAATGACAGAAAGTCTGATGATGACTTTGCTGCATGGCCAATTCTGATTGTAAATCTCAGAACACAGCCTAGGACAGGAGTTCCATCTGCCTCTGGCTACCTTTGAACGCTACAAAACTGATAGGGAACTAATTTCAGGATTTACAAAGCACTTCAGAAACTCAATGACAGCAAAACAAACGAACCTGTGAAGAAATGGGTGAAGAAAATGTACAGACATTTTGCAAAAGAATAAATTCAAATGGCTAATAGACAGATGAAAGAAATGCTCAGACTCCCTAGCTGTCAGGGAAAAACAAGTGAAAATCACACTGAGGTTCCACCTAACTCCAGTGAGATTGGCCTACACTAACAGCACCTGCTAGCTTGTTGGCGGGAGTCTAGGCTAGTGCGACCGCTATGGAAGTCAGTATGGAGAATGCTAAAAGAACTGAAACTTCATCTGCCTTATGACCGAACTATCTCACTTCTGTGAATATATGAAAAAGAAATCTGTATATGAAAAAGGATTTATAATCCTATATTTACAGCACACAATCTATAATAGCAAAGACGTCTAAACAACCCAGATGCCTGTCAAAAGAGGAATAGATAAAGATCTACTCCGTGGAATACTACCCAGCCATTAAAAAGAATGAAATTCTACCATTTGCAGCTAAATGGTCCCCCCAAAAACCATTATGCTCAGTGAAACAAGTCCATTCCAAAAGGACAAATATCATATGTTCTTTCTGAGATAAGGCAACCGTCATGCAAGATGTAAAGCAACAGCCCTTTCAATACTGTTTTCACTACATCTCTTGGGTTTTGAAATTTTTGTTTTTATTTCTTTTTCTTTAAAAAAGTTTTTTTCCTTATTAAATTTCTTCACTGACTCATAGGTTGTACAGTAGCATCATTTTCTTCAAGAAAGTTTTTGATTTTCTTTTTCATTTCTTCAGCAACATATTGGTCATTTAGTAGCATATTTAACTTCATGCAGTTGTAAATTTTCTATTTTTCTCTTTTTTTATTTTATTTCATAGCTTTTCAATTATAGAGATGTACACTAGCTGTGTAGTAGAGACTACCACATGCAGATGTGAAGATACAATGCACTATGTATCTCTACCTCTAAATCAAAGATGGACTCTGAATGAAACTTTTGAATGTCTCTTGACAATAGGATGCTGGTCTCCCTGTCATTGTCCATACTTACAACGTCAGAATATGCTTAAATAGCAGAATGGTGGACTTATGACTGATTATGAAGGACTATAGTATTGTAATGATATGAGGGAAATCAGTGGTGGGGGGTAAGAATTTGGGGAGGGGAGAAGGGAAACATCGAAGCCTATGAAACTGTATCACAGAATAATTAAATAAAATAAATAAAATGATTTAAAAAGAACATACACCATCCTAACTGTGCCTCAGAGATCTCACCTTACCTTTCTCCTGTTACCTGGGCAATTTATAAAATCACAGCAATCATTCATCCCATGAGCACTTCTTAAGTGCTTCCAAATGACTCAGAGCATTATTCACCAACTTGGTATGTTTTCAGATCCGTTGTCCAGAGATTCACTCAGCATAAGTGCCTATTAAGTGTCCACTATGTGTCAAGCACCACACTCAGCATTTGGGGTAAAGCAGTGAGCAAAAGAGGGGGAAAAATCCTTGTTATTGTGGAGCTTTTACTCTTATTGGAGGAAACAGACAATAAAAACTGAGCATATGAGATGGTTAAAGGTGAAGTGGAGAGAAGAAAAGAAGCCATAGTGGCATGAAGGATGGGAAGCATAAATCACGACTGTGCTCACCAAAAGGGGTGGCTTGGGCGTAAAGGAGGGAGGGGTGATTCATGTGTACAGAAGTTGAGCATTCCAGGCAGTGCAAGTGTTTGGCAGGTTGTAGATACAGAATGAATGTGTAGGGACTAAAGCTGGATCTCTAGTAGGAATACCTAACTCTAATCTTAACAGAAATAATTGTTTTTAAGATTTATAACCACTATAACAGAAGATCAATATAGAAGGGACAATTTCTATCTTGTCCCTGTCTGTATTTTGTAGTTGAGTTCAGTGTTTGCGCAAATTGGACATACAGAAGAAAAAAAAAAAGGTGAAAAGAGGGAATATAGAACAAAAGCAAGAAGTAGAGGGAGGGAAGAGAGGAAGAGATACCGGCCAATAGACTTTTAATTATATGAATAATCCTTACTAAAAAATGCTTATAATCAGTCACAGCCTGTGGAAGAATCTAATCTCTTTTAGTCCTTTTCTTCCTCAACAGTTTTGAGAATACGTTGGATGCTAATAAATTGGACAGAGGATGCTGTAATATTAATAGGAATTAAAAACTTAGTGATAGAACCCGGAGCCAAAGCAACTTTAAAGGTTAATATAGGCAGAATAATTAATTCAACATGTGTCGCTCTGTTATCTTGCCTGGCAAGAGGACTTTGCAGGTGTGATCACATAATCGCAAGAATTGTCTGGTAAGCCAGGAAAGGAGATAGGTTGATAGAAGCCAAGTGGCATAAAGGTTTGTATACACCACGCTGCTGGCTAAAAGATGGAGGAAGGACCATGAGCCAACAAATGCGAGCAGCTTCAAAAACTGGAAAAGGTAAGAAAAGGGATTCTTTTCCTGTGACACACATGTAGATTATAGCACAGTAAATCTCTTTTTGGAACTTCTGATATCTAAAGATATAAGTTAATGCATTCAATGTTGCTCCTACATGACTGTGTTTAAGATAATTTACTATAGACGTTTTAGGAAGCCAATGATTTGGTTGACATTATAAGGCAATTGTAATGAACTATTTAGAATATTTCAGGATATAGAAGACTAATATGTAAAGATTGTAAGAATTTTAGTTGACAACAAGCTTAGAAGAAAGCAAACAGACACACAAAATATGTATGTCTGTGCAATGGAGAATTTGGAATATCATCAGTAAAGAAGGCGCTATAGGCTCCATGCCACCTCTGATGTGTGGTGTTCACTTGTCGTCTCAACCCTTTAAATGGGATGGTGACACAGAAGGCACATCCAGATGAGAGAAAGTTTAAAATCATGCTTCCAAATGAAGGAGCAGTAGTAGGATAGGGCCAGCACTGTGACATAATGGGTTAAATTGCCACCTGCTGCACTGGTATCCCATGTGGGCACCAGCATCTGTTTTGCTTCCAGTACAGTTTCCTGTTAATGTGCCTGGGAGGGCAATGGAGCATGTCCCAAGTACCTGGGCCTCTGTAATCATGGGGAAAGGGTCAGTGGAGGGACAGGTGGATGAGAGAGGATCTCCAGTGTAGGATCAGAACTCTTCCAGCTTCCAGGCAACAGGAGCCTTTGGGTGTAGAGGGACTCTGTGGGTGGAGCCAAGAATGCCTTCTTCCTGGAATGGACTTGAAGTCACAGACAGTAGTGTCAGTCCTCACATGGCACCCACGCACAACTGCCAACTTTAAGGGGATTTCCATCTGCCTTTGCCCCTCAGTTCACCCTCCACCCTTGTCCAGTCCCTAGGATGAGGATGAGTGGGAAGGGAACTATGGAAATTCCCTTTTTAGGAACATGGGAGTCACAGAGAGAAAATAGAGGGAGAGAGAGAGAAAGAGAGAGAAGTAAAAAGTGAGAAGTCTCTCTCAACTTTCTACTCCTACTTTCACCCTCAGCCAGGGCATTTTCTAAAAGGAAGAGGGATCACCAGACCCATGCGCAGGTGCTGAATTTTCCCAAGGCCTCCAGCCCACCCTCCTCTTGTCTCCCAGCCAGCCCATCCCACTGGGGAGCCAGAAGGCCCAGCCGACAGCCGGGTTGTGCAATCAGCAGTGCAGATGTGGCTGGGACTCTGGCTTGTGGCAGCTGCCTCTGTCATCACCCAGAGCCTATGGCCTTCACTTCACCCTTGAGCTGTACTCTAGCAACATTCCTGTCCCCATCCCAGACAGGCCCCACCCCAGGCACCATCCTGCTCTAGCAGTTCCAGAGAACACTTGGCTGCCAGGAATCGCAGGTCAGCTTAGCCACCCTGTACTCTGCCACCAGCAGAGGAGGCCTTGTTCTCCCTGGGCCTCAAATTCTCCACTGAATTTTCTCTATTCCTGAGGTCATTGAGTTTAGAAAGGCATTTGCTGGGGGACAGGCACGATGACTCAACTGACTAATCCTCTGCCTGAAAGTACTAGCATCGCATTTGGGTGCTGGTTCACGTCCTGGCTGCTCACTTCCAATTCAGTTCCCTACTTACAGCCTAGGAAAGCAGCAAAGTATGCCCCAAGTCCTTGGAACCTTGCAGCTATGTGGGAGACCCGATGAAGCTCTGGGCTTCAAATTGGTTCAGCTCAGGCCGTTGTGGCCATTCGGGGAGTGAACAAGAGGACAGATGGCCTTTCTCTGTGTCTCTTCTCTTAGTAAAAAAATCTGCCTTTCCATAAAAATAATTAAAAAAAATATATAACTTATTGACCCACATAGGGCCTGGATAAGATCCGAAATCCCTTATATTGTCCTTGGGCAATCCAAGTAGGACAAAATCACTTTCCATTCTGCAGCGACCTTCTGACTGCTATTTTCATGAAGTCTTGAATTTGATCAATCATCAGACAACACCACGATTCCTCGGCCTCATTAATGGTACTTTGGAAGACTTAAAAGAACCTCAAACGACTCTTTGCCTCAATAGGAGATACTGGATCCACAGAAAGAGTAATTACTTGCTAAAAGGATCCCTGATTTGAAAATTCACAAAGATTAAGAGAGGAAATGGAGATCCCCCCAGCAAATATGAGCAGAGATGGGGTGAGGGCCCAAGAAGCAGGTCTTGTTATCAGATCTTTTTCCTCTATTCCATGCCCTCTGACATCATAGTGGGGATGGTGGTCATAGTGGCAGCAATTATGACAGTGATGCTGGTGATGAAGCAGTGCTGCTGCTGATGTGGCCATAATGGTGACAGCCGCAGTGTTGTTGGTAGTGTGGTGACAGCAGGAGTCGTGCCAATTATGTTGGCAATGGTGATGGCAATAACGACGGTGGTAGTTAAGGTAGTTTTAGTGGCAATGATGGGGATGCTGGCAGTGATGGTTATACTGATGGTGACAAAGCCTCAGTATGATACTGAAGGTAAATTTATTTCTCTTGGAGAATTTGGGAAAACATAGCGCATCCTTATAATATCAGCTTTAAGTTGTTTAGTTTTGGAATGATTCGGAGTCTGAGTGAGCCCTCACCCAAACCCTTGCTCAGCAGCACTGAAAAGGCTCGGAACTTCTGCTGTGGTGAGCTCCAGGATGGACAGCTCCCACAGCTACCCTTCCAGACCCACACTGGGCTGAGCTCACACATTTCCCAAGGCCTACTGCGGCCGATGGCTGGGCTCCACGGCAGTCCTTATGCCGGCCCCTTCCTGGAAATCAAGAACACATCAGCCAGGTGGCTTTGGCTCAGAGACTCTTCCCAGATGCCTTCCACCTCATGGCCCAGCCTCTAAGAACAGGGCTGTGGGCCCCCACCCTCCCTCTCTGCTCTGCCTTCGCCCCTCTCCCTCCCCAACAGGAATCACACCTTCCTGACCCCCCAGAAACTCTCCTTGGCCTTTTATTTGTCCTTCACAGCTGTGTCCTCTTTATGTCTTGTTCCAGGGTTAGCAGAAGAACTGAGTTCACACACCTGAGCCATACAGGTGCATCATGGACAAAAGAAAAAGACAACGCATATGACATTGGCAAAGTGAGGCTGATTTTCTTACACACCTTAGAAACTATCTCAGAGGACAATTACAAGCAGGCAGGTTTCATCGACTTCGAGTCCTGGAGGCAAGTTGGCCTTCGGATAGTAAAATCTTTGCCAGAGTCAAAATCCACCGTAGAGAAAGGAGAGCAGTCGTGGATGCCCAGGATGAGCTGAAGCTGAGCTGGGATAGAAGAACTTGAGATTGCATGAGATAAGAAAAGAGGTGACACTTGAAGAGGTGGGAAATGTTTATAGAGTGACAGTGTAGGGAGGGCTCACAGGTAGCCACTGGGGCCACACAGAGCAGCACCAATGAGTCTGGAATTGAGATGGCAGATGTCACAAACAGGCAGAAGACACGTGGCCAAAGAATGAGCCTGTTTTGTTCTCACCCTGGCCACCGTGACAGCTGGAGCCCAGAGGAGGCCGGTGGGTGGTGCTGCTGACAGAAGCAAGAAGGCCAAAGGGGCTCAGTTGTGGAGGGAACATTCTGAGTGGCTTGGGTCATGTTTCTCCATGAGTTGCATTTACTGTGAACTTGAACACATGTGCCTAGAACACAGACAAGTGGCTTCAGGCTAGGCTGTAGGCTTAGAGGGGAGGTATTGCAGGGGGTGAGGCAGGAGGGGCTGGGAGTGGTGCGGATGCTCGAGTGAAGGAAGCAGAGTCCTGGCAAACCCTCCCTGTGCAGAGGCAGGGATGGATCTTGGTGCTGGCAAACAAGTGGGTCCCTAGTGAGATAGGAAGGGCAATACCCCCTACGCCACAGCATGGGCTGATGTCCACAGTGCCGAGGTATGCCAAGGTCAGACCCAGGTCTGGCACCTCAGGTCTCTCTACTGCCCTCCAGCCCAAGGGGTGCCCATCTTGGCTCAGGAGCACGTGAGGCTACCCACAGACCTCAGAGGAACTCTCACATGGGGCCATGCCATCACCCAGTGGTGATGTGCTGGCAGCGCTAGGGGCACTGTGCCTGCTGCGGCCCAGCCTCCCGCGGGCTGCTCCTGTGGTCCAATGGCCACGTCGATCTCCTGGGGTCAGTGCCGGGGCGGCAGCAGCCTCCGTGTGAGGTGGTGGTGTTGGCATCTGCTCTCCTGAAGCAAGGACTGGGAAAACAGATGACCTCAGGCTGTAAGCTCTTAGAGTCGTTGCTCAGAAGAGAGCGGAAAAGATGAGGCTAAAAATACATGCAGACCCAAATTCCCTACCTCATGAAAAACATACACACACACACACACACACACACACACACACACACACACACACACAAAAAAAAACAGGTCGACTGTCCCACAACGTGTGTAACAACAGGCCTAGAGCCATCATTCCCACATTCCCACCGCAGCCTGTAGGTCAGACTCTTCTGCATTTGTACTTGATTTCCACCCAGGCCTGGCTGCTCTGACACCAGAGCAGGCTGGGCCCGTTGCTCATTGCCAGCTTTGCCCATGTTCTCTCCTCTGCTGCACCCTTCCATTCACTCTGAGCTTAACTCAAGTGTGTCCAAGACTTCATCTGGTAGATGATCTCAACTTCCAGGAGGACCCTCCAGTCCAGGTCAAGAACCTGAACATGGCGCCACTAATGGGCTTGTCTTTTCCTCAGGTTGCTGAAGGCTATGCCAACTCTTACAATCATAGTAGAATCTTAATTGGGACGAAGGTTTCTTAATGAGGAGGGGGAAGGTAGATGCTTAATAAATAGTCCTTGCAAGCTGGAGTAGTGGCACAGCAGATAAAGCTACCACCCACCATATGCTGGCATCCCATATGGGCACTGATTTGTGCTCCAGCTGCTCCACTTCCTATGTAGCTCTCTGCTAATGGCCAGGGAAGGCAGTGGAGGATGATCCACATGTTTGGGGTCCTGCCATCCATGTGCAAAATCTGGAAGAAGCTCCTGGCTCCTGACTTCGGCCTGGCCCAATCCTACCTGAAGTGGTCATTTGAGGAGTGAATCAGCCAATGAAAGTCTGTGTCTCTCCCTCTAACTCTACTTTTCAAATAAACATTTCTTACAATCAATTGAACAAATGCAATGGTTGGACCCATTTGAATATGCTCAGCTTCTTAGGATATGAAGAGGGAGTGGGAGGGGCCCAGGGAGAGGATAAAGAGTGATAAAGGACAATGTTGCAATGTTACATGTGACCACCCTTGTATGTGACACAGGTAGGAAGTGCTGTACTAAGCCAAAGCACAAACTATTGTGTTTGGGATTCTTAAGCAGTTCATTCTTAAAATGGCCTTAAACATCTTGCCAAGTCAGTGTTTCTCATCTTTTGGGCTACAGCTGCCCAGACTTGTGCTGGATCCAGGGAGCTGTGCTGGTGTCAGTTGCTGCTTTCACAGTTGGTGCTTGTTTTTCAGAGGTGATGGGGGGACACAATGGAGTCACAAGCACACCTGACAGCCAATCATCCCTTGGCTTTTCTGCCTGTATCCTCTCCTTTTCTCTGCTTTAGTGCAATGACCACCCTGCAAATGCAGGAGGTCCTGAACCAGAGAAGCCACAAGCCTGAGCCTAACATCTGACCCACAGTGGGTATCAGCAGCTTACAGGTGAATCAGGGGATGGACAGAAAGAAATAAGGTAGAAGAAGACAGTAACTTCCTACACATCTAAAACTCCTGGCAGAAGGAGAGCCAAGGAAAGTTCAGAAGCAGCTACGTAGGCTTTTGCAGTACTCTAACAATGCAGACACATGATACGATGGCTTCCAAAGCCATCAGCCCCACAAAGTGACTACTGACAACAGCTACAGAGTCATCAGCAAACCTCCCAATATACTGAGAAGGGTCTAACAGCCTGGTCCCCATGGTTCAGTGTGACTGTGAGAGATTCAGACCCCGCTGCTTGCCAAGCTGGCACATCAAGAGGCATCATCATAGACCAACCTGCCTGCTGGCCACCCCTGAAAGACCAGTTACTCTGGTCAGAGGCTGACAGTGCCCTGGTCAAGCTCCACAGTGGGTGGGCTTATTTGCATGCCATCTTCTTTTCTAACCCAGTTTTTGGAACTCAGCCTTGTCAAGCAGGCCTGGCAACCACTCCCCTACCTCCATCTGCTCTCACTTCCCATGTGGCAACATGGCTCCCATGGGCAGAGGCAGCTGTTGCCCACTTCCCAGCCTGGATGTGGGCCAGGTTACCTGAGGTCTTCTCATCCAATGTTGGGAGGAGAAGCAGATTCCAAATCTGCCCAGCATAGGACTGCTCCCTATGACTTGGGAACAAAAGTGTCCCTTCCAGGCAAGAGCTAGCTCAGCTCATTGGGGAAGTCCTGTTTTGGGGAGATACTGGGCATTCTTCCAAAGATTAAGCTACTACTGTGTTTCCCTTTCAAATTTTATCCTGATGTTTATGACTCCCCTGGCAGGAGAGCTGGAAGGGAAGGAGGTGAACAGTAGAATTTAGGCTCCCAGTCCTCCCTGGATCCCTCTCAATGAGGAGCCAGGACAACAGTCAGCCAAGGTGCTAAGTGCACCAAGCTCAAGATCATGTTTTCCCCACATCTGATCATTCATGGGAATCTAACAAAGTGGGGACAAAAGGCTGGGAGAGCAGGAGATCTGAGAATTCCAGTCCTTCCAGTGCCGAGGAAGTTCTTCCTCCTCTGTGGCCTTGGGTTTCCTCCAGGACAGAATGAGACCCCAGAGGCCCTCAAAACCCTCCTGCGTAGCAGTTTTAAGTATAGAATGGAGCCTGATGCTTACAACCATGTGTGCAGAACAGAAGCTGATGTGGTCCCAGGCCTCAGGATTGAATGATGTAGTCAGGAGAGAAAAGGCACATGTGTGAACCAACTGGGGAAAATGGCAAGACTGACTTTGATTGAATGCCTAAGTTAGTGGATCAGACCAGCAGGGCCTGGCTTGAGGGCTGAAACTCTTGCAAAGGATCTGTACATCCATATGCCCTACAAGCCTCGACTGAAGGCTGAATAAATAATACAACTTGCACGTATATGTGTGACTATTTTTCAAATCATCAGTGCTGCTGTCACAAAGGAAACACAGATTCATTTCAAAATGGTCGTGAGGGCAGACCGCCTTTGGCTTACAATGCGCTTTCTCAAATAGCAGGCCTTACAAAGACAGCCGCTGTTTACAGGGAAATAAAACGGTATCTGGGCTTCTCTTTATAATACTCCGGTGTTGGTGGGGAGGTGGGGGGAGGGTGTGTGGAAAGTCAGTGGTGGATGCAACTTGAAGGAGAGAATGTTAATAATTATTGAAGCTGGATATGAGTACATGGGGGATTATTATACGGTTGTCTCAATTTTGTATGTTTGAAATTTTCCATTATAAATTTTTTCTGAAGAGCACAAATGCTCTTATGTGGTCATTCACGGAATCTTTTGACATTAGGAAAGGGATTCTTGGGGGAAGGCTGCTCACAATACATTGTGGAGTGTAAGAAAGCTGTTCTAAAGCCATATGTCAGTATGACTTCAGATCTTTTTCCTCTAAAAGAGTGAATGAGTGTTTCAGGCTCTTGTGAAAATGTCAGACACAGTTAACTCAGTGTAACAGCTCTTGTATTCTCTCTTATGCTTATCTGTACTTTGGATGAGCCTGTTCTCCTTTTGTCATCAGTCCTAAATATTGCTTTTTATAAAGCTTGATGACAGGCTTTGTATTCAAAAGGCTGCCAGGTGCTCACTGGGACCCTGTCATGTCATGGGAATTCCCACCTCATGGAGTTCCAGGCCTTGGGAGGTTGTCATGGCGGACAGCCTCCCACTGGGTTTTCAAGCGCAGGATTCAGAGATCACAAGATGGGTGAGAAGGCATTCCAAGCAGCACACAAGTCAGCATGTCCCATCTTGAGAGAGTGGCCTCCACAGAGCAGGGGTGAACCCAGGGCCTAGGGGCTATGGCAGGGGAAGCAGCGAATGTGGAGTAGGGACAGAGGGGTTGGGTGGGGCAAGGTCTTGAAGCATTCTGGGAAGAGAGGAGCCTCAATGTCTGGCTACAAATTGTCCTG